GCACGGCGCGAGGCGGGGGGCGCTTCACTAACACTCGGGTCCCTGCATCCTCCCTGGCTGAGTCCGGCCGGGTCCGAGGTTGCACCGCCACCACCTGGAGCCACCGTGGCCCCCACCTGCACAGTGTGGAGGCAACACCTTTGTCCCCAGACCCGGTGAGAACAGGGGAGCAACAGAGTCTCTTTCCTGTTTCTCTGCAGGGGAAGGTCCTGGGGATTTGCGGGAACATTGGGAGCGGGAAGAGCTCCCTCCTCGCAGCTCTGCTGGGTCAGGTGAGCTGTGCGGGTGGGCACGCCGAGATGTCAGGGTCCCTGCTGCTGTGTGCTGGGTCCGTGAGAACAGTGGCCCCGGCAGCTGGGCACAGAGTGAACGGTCATGTTTGTGAGGTTGACGTGCTTGGCAGCCAGCAGCAGGCCCCTCGGCTGCCTCTTCCAGAACGTTCCTGCCTGGCCCCCTGCAGGTGTTTGATGTCGAAGCCCTCGGCCTGCACGGTCGGGCTCTGCAGCCCGTGGATGAGATAGTGTCTCCCTCTCGCACCCTCAGGATTAAAGCTCACGGGAGAAGGGGCGCAGGGGTCCAATGGGCCCGGGAGCCGTCGGCGGGTCAGCTCTGAGGGCCCTGGTTCTGTGCCTGCAGATGCAGCTGCAGCAGGGGGTGGTGGCGGTCAGCGGGACCCTGGCCTACGTGTCCCAGCAGGCGTGGATCTTCCACGGGAGCGTGAGGGAGAACATCCTGTTCGGAGCCAAGTACGACCACCAGAGGTAACGCTCACTCAGGGCAGGAGCTTCCGTGTCCGGGACCCTCCGCTGCAGGAGCCGATCGGACCCGGACGCACGGGCGCCGGTGGTCCCCTTCCTGACCCGAGTCCAGGAGGCGCCCCAGGTCGCGCTCCAGGACACGTGGAATGGGCGCCGGGCTCCCGGGCTCCGTCTCCGCACGTGCTGTCCGGCCACAGGAAGGTCCATCTGGCCGTTCTGCGTGGGGCCAAGGACCCACGAGGTGGCTTGAAGTCGAGCAGCGCTGAGCCGGGACCTGGCCGCGGGCCATGGGACCTGCTGCTGCTGCTGACGTCCCACAGTGGCCGAAGGGAATGAGCGCAACCTTCCAGTCCTGACTCTGCAGACACCGGGGCCCCGGCCTCCCAGCTCTGCTTCCCCGGGTTCTTCACAGAGTCTGGGGGGCTGCCCGGTCCAGTCCCTCATGAGTTCCAGAACCACCCATTTAGGGGGATCTCACCCAGGAAGAGGCTGAGGCCCAGAGAGGAACGTTGACCTGCCCAAGGTCAAAGCTATCGAAGGGCAGAGCGGAGGCCTGAGGCCCCTCCTCTGACTCCCAGGAGCAGTGCCAGCCACTGGCGCCCCCTCGTGGTGGGAACCCTGAGGAAAGGGCCGTCCGGTCCCTCTATCAGCTGGAGGTGGGCACAGGGTCCGGGGGCAGCTGCCCTTGGGCATTCAGGACAAAGCACTGGCCATGCCCTCCCTTGCCCAGGGACCACAGCAGTGTCTCCGGTGCAGCCCGGGCGGCGGGTCTTCCTCACTGCGCTGACCTCTGACCCTCGCGCCCACAGATACCAGCACACGGTACGAGTCTGCGCCCTCCAGGAGGACCTGAGCAGCCTGCCTTACGGGGACCTGACCGAGGTGAGCGGGGCGGGCTCGGCCCCATGGCGGCATCGGGCAGCCCGACTGCCCAGGGCCAAAGGGCAGCCCAGCTCCGTCCATACCCGATGTCCCGGGGCCAGAACGGTGCCAGGACATGTGGGAAAGTCAGGGCCCCCGTCTCGGACTCTCATCTGGGCCTGTGCTTGGGGGATGTCACAGCAGAGGTGGCACCAACCCCACCTGTGTTGGGTCCAGCGTGGCCGCCCCTGGGACCACTTCCCATCTGCCTCTGGAGAGGCAGCCAAGGGTTCTGCCGCTGGCAGCCAAGCACGTCAACCTCACTTCCCCGAGGTGGCCCCATCCTCTGAGGATGGGGGGCCAGGTGCTGGTCTGTGGCTGGTCTCGAGGGCCCCTTTCTGCCTCACTGCCTCTGTGGGCCCAGGAGGACCAGGTCCCCTCCAGACACTGCCCCGGATGCTGGTCCCTCTGCTCCCAGCCACGCCTCCCTCCGGGGAGCCTGTCCCCTTCCCCGAGCTTCCTGCCCTCCACTCTCTTGGGGTGAGCCATCCGGACGCAGCCCCTCCCGATGGGCCTGCACCTGGGACTGTGAGCCAGGCGCCCCTCACTCGGTGCTGGGAAGAGCTGCGCCCCAGTCACCTCTGCCCACAGGCTCCCAGCACCCCCGGGGCACGGGTGCTGTCGGGGTCCCTGCGGGGAAGGGGGGAGCTGGGGCGTGGTGATGAGCAGGAGCACTGCCCCGTCCGCAGATCGGGGAGCGGGGCCTCAACCTCTCGGGGGGGCAGAGACAGAGGATCAGCCTGGCCCGCGCCGTCTACTCGGACCGCGAGGTCTACCTGCTGGACGACCCGCTGTCGGCCGTGGATGCCCGCGTGGGGAAGCACGTCTTCGAGGAGTGCATCCGGAAGGCGCTCCGCGGCAAGACGGTCGTCCTGGTGACGCACCAGCTGCAGGTGACGGCCCTCCCGTGGGAAGGGCTCCCCTGCCCCTTCCCCTCAGCCTAGACCCCCCACGCGGGGCGTGTGGTAAAGAACTTGGCCCTCCTCTCCTTTCCGTGCGAAGGAGACAGGCTGGCGAACACCCAAACCCAAATTCAGGGTCCCCTTCACCTTCCACAGGGCAGGGGGGCCAGTGCTTTGGAAGGAGAACCCCAAGTCTCCCCCGAGAGCAGGGCGGAGTGGGCTGCCCCCATGCCCTTCCCCTGGACACTCATCCTGGGCTTTGGCCTCAGACACTGTCGCTATTTCTCCCTCCTCTTCCAGCTGAGCCTCACCATCTTTCTGGTATAAGAAAAGGCATAAGAAGCTTTAGGAAGGGCCCTGACTGGTTTGGCTCAGTGGATAGAGCATCCGCCTGCGGACCGGGCCTCCCCTCGGGTGTCCGGCTGGGGCGGTCTCTCGCTGCGCCTGCAGAAGGCACTGGTTCTGTCCCCAGGACCCTGAGCACATCTACAACGCGGCAATGGTGGAGGCCCTGCAGGAGGGCCCCGCGGACAGAGACGAAGGTGCGGGCCGAGCCGAGCTGGAATCACGCCTCTTGTGTTACCTGGGGCTCAGTGGACACAGACCCCTCCCTTTCTCACCCTAGTTCTGGCTCCCGATGAGAAAGAGGAAGGAAAAGAATCCGACACGTACTCAGAATTCATAGACGTCAAAGGTGCGCGCCACCCACTCCCTCAGCTCTGCGCGCCTCCACGTTGGCTGGGCACCCACCGCTCGGACAGAGAAGCGGACGCAGGGTGTGGGTCTTTGGGGCGACAAATTCCATGGTTTACTGCAGGGTAAGCCTTGGGGTCAGCTGCCTGAGTCCGAATCCTGGCTCAGCCACTTACTAGTTTTCTGACTTTGAGCCAGACAACTTGGCCCCTGTGAACCTTAGCTTATCAACCTGTAAAATGGGGAAATAATACCAACCTCGTGGGTTCTTACAAACATTTTTAAAAAATATTTTTTCATTGAGTTCAGCGAGGTAGCGAGGTAGCGAGAGGGAGAGGGAGAGAGAGAGAAACATCAATGAGAGTGATTTCTTTAATGATTCGTCTCGTTAGGCGAAGGCTGTTTATCAATGCTTCCCACCCCCTCCCCACAAGAATATCAAGTCGGACAATACGGCCTTTCCCACGGCATCGAGGGGCCTCCATTGGGCTGTGCCCCCTGCGGCGCAGGCCAGAGGGAGACACAAGGAGCCCGAGTGGGGCTGAGCTCTTTGACAGCGCAGAGCTTCCCAGGCGAGGCTCTGAGGTGTGAAGGTGCCCCCGCCGCCTGGCAGCGCGCGGACAGCCCCGTGTCTCGCTCTCTCCATCGCTATTTATAAAGCCAGCGGGTTAGGATTCTGCTCGGGGCCGCCATTTCCATGCTTCCCTGGGGGAGAGCGGGGAGAGCCCTGCCCGGTCCTGGCGCTGGGATGGCCACAGCCGGCACCCCTGTGTCTCTGTGGTCGCCTCCATGAAAATGCAGAGGACTTGGGGCAGCCCGGGGAGGGAGTCAGGCAGGCGCCGGGGTGTCTGTCTGCTGGGTGGTGTGAGCTCCGAGAGGACCTGCCACCTCCTCCCTGTCCCCACCCCCCCGCGGTAGAAGCTGCGATGCCGGGAGCTCCTCAGTGTACACTGCCCCGCTCCCAACTGCCTCCTGCCCTCCTGTGCCAGGGCCTCTCTCTGGCAGCAGCTGGTTGCAGATCAAGTTCAAAGTGCTGGGAATTAACCCCCTAGGGAGCCCCTCCCCAGGGGCCAATGGGAGCCGGTGTAGAAATCGGGATCCCTCCAATCACATGGCTCACCTCTGGGCTGTGGGACCTGCCCTGACTCAGGATTCTCTACGCGGGATTAAGTCGGCTGGGCCTGGGCCTGCCTCCCCTGAGACCTTCTCCCGGCCCCCAGGCCCTTCAGCTCCCGCATGAGCTGAAGCCTTTGGAGCCTCCTCTTAGGACAGGGGTCCTCAAACTACGGCCCGTGGGCCACATGCAAATACAAATATTGTATTTGTTCCCGTTTTGTTTTTTTACTTCAAAATAAGATATGTGCAGCATGTACAGGAATTTGTTCATAGTTTTTTTTAAACTATAGTCCAGCCCTCCAACGGTCTGAGGGACAGTGAACTGGCCCCTTGTTTAAAAAGTTTGAGGACCCCTGTCTTAGGACCACGGCCATCCCTCCTCCCCAGGGCTGAGCGCATAGTAGGTGTCAGTAAATCGTTCTCAAACGCCACCTGCTTCCCACCTGCCATGAGGACCAAACAAAATCAAAGGAGCGGAAGTGTGTTGGGAACGTGAAGGTGCAGGGAAAGGGCAGGAGGGGCGGTGCCTGCCCTGGGGGAGGCCTGGGGAATCGGGAGGGTCCCCTGCCCCACGGCCCACCTCCCCCAGGGGAGCCCAGGACTGGTGTTTGTCCCCACAGCCCCTCTGCACCAGCTCGTCCAGACCCAGCCCCCCCGGGAAGGAGCCGTGACCTGGAGGACGTATCACACGTACATTAAGGCGGCTGGAGGTTTGGCAGCAAACGGGTTTCCTGATGCGATGAGAAAGAGGAAGGAAAAGAATCCGACACGTACTCAGAATTCATAGACGTCAAAGGTGCGCGCCACCCACTCCCTCAGCTCTGCACGCCTCCACGTTGGCTGCACGACCAAACAAAATCAAAGGAGTGGAAGTGTTTTGGGAACCTGAAGGCGCAGGGAAAGGGCAGGAGGGGCGGTGCCTGCCCTGGGGGAGGCCTGGGGAATCAGGAGGGTCCCCTGGCCCACGGACCCCCTCCCCCAGGGGAGCCCAGGATTGGTGTTTGTCCCCACAGCCCCTCTGCACCAGCTCGTCCAGACCCAGCCCCCCCGGGAAGGAGCCGTGACCTGGAGGACGTATCACACGTACATTAAGGCGGCTGGAGGTTTGGCAGCAAACGGGTTTCCTGATGTACTTTGCATGTAAAAGTGCTCCTTCTTAGACGCCTGGGTTCACGTGTTTATGATTTCTTTAATGATTCGTCTCGTTAGGCGAAGGCTGTTTATCAATGCTTCCCACCCCCTCCCCACAAGAATATCAAGTCGGACAATACGGCCTTTCCCACGGCATCACCCTTTATGGCCGTTCAGGCTGCTGGGCTCTGTCTGTCGGAAGGAAATGGGGGTGGCGGTGTAACCCAGCGGTGTGCCTCTGTGGCCTCCTTTCCGTCACTGAGCGCGCCCCCCATCAGCTCGGGGCGCAAAGCACTTAGACAGTCACCCCCCTTCACTCCCAGCAAGACGGGGCGTTCCCTATTTGTCCCTAAAGAGTTCGGAGTCACTTCCATCTCAGTGCATATTGGTGGTTTTTCCAAAAGTTGACAACTTGGACCTACTTTCCAACCAGGTGGCCAGGTGCCCCCACGTGGGTTCAGGGGCGCAACCCCCAGACCCGTCCGCCAGCCTGAGGGTGGTTCCCAGGGCGGGGCCTTTCCCGGCAGGTTCATCTCCATCAGGCGGGGCCCAGGGAGCCGGCTGCGCCCGGCACCGCGGCCTCTCCTCCCTGCAGGCTACCTCCTCTCCCTCTTCACCGTGACGCTCTTCCTCCTCATGATCGGCAGCACCGCCTTCAGCAACTGGTGGCTGGGCTTCTGGCTGGACAAGGCCTCGGAGGTGAGTGGCCCTCGGGCACCGGCGGACGCTGAGGAGGTGGCTCCCGGGAGCCGGACCCCACTCGACGCCACACAGCTCGTCCTCCCCTTGTGGCTCCTGCTCACGAAGCGGAGGCCCCTACTCACCCCGCGCGGTTCAGAACCCGAAACCCCTTCCACTTTTTAAGACAAACGGCATCGGGGTTCTGTGTGCCGCCTTCCGTCTTCTTTTTTAAATCTATTTTTATTGGTTTCAGAGAGGAAGGGAGAGAGAGAAACATCAATGATGGGAGAGAATCATGGATGGGCTGCTTCCTGCATGCCCCCCACTGGGGATCGAGCCCGTAACCCGGGCCTGTGCCCTTGAGCGGAATAGAACCCGGGAGGTTCTACGCTCCGCAGGCCAACGCTCTATCCACTGAGCTAAACCGGCCAGGGCCCACCGTCCATCTTTAAAGGACCGGCCGAGAAGGAGTGAGGCAGACCAGCAGGTCCGTGGGTCACGAGGGTGCAGGACTGGGTCCGTTCTGCAGCCTCAGTTGTAAGGGCCACCGAGGGCGCTGGGGAGCCTCGATCAGGTCTCCCTGCCTCCGAAGGGGAACTGGCAGCGTGTGGTGGACCCTGCCCCATGCAGAGGGCTCCACCCTCCCTGGCTCTGCTCTCCAAAGTCCATCTGGGGGTGCGCAGGCCCCTGGGGGTCTCTGCCTCCGAGGCTGTCGTCTGGGCCGGGCCCCTCCTGGGGAGGACGGATACGCCCGCTCTCGCTCCAGCTCGCCCACTGTCGGCCAACGCTCTCCCAGCTCTCCTGGAGCCCGGGGAGCGCCGTGGGGTGGCCTGCCCCTCTGCCAAGGTTACATTTGGGCACAGTCCTGTTGCCGTGACAACCAGTGAGGAGGCACTGGGGGATGCGGGCAGAGAGAGGTGTGGCAGCCCCTGGAGTCGGCCGTTCCCAGGGGAGCAGCAGGGGAGGCCGCTCTGTGCAGCTGGATAGCCGGCCCTGCAGCCCCTCCCAGGCCTGGCGCTCTCGAGAGCCTCTCCCTGGAAAGCCCGGGGGGGTCAGGGGCAGGCAGCGAAAGCAGACCCGTGTCTGCCCGTGCCCCACACGTGGGGCCTAGCCGAAGGCACCGTGAGGCCTCTCCTTTGTTAGTTCCCGGGGGTGCGCTTGCTTTGAGGGGTGCCCGGCCCCCTCTGGCTTACACCCCGCCGGTGCTGTCCCCAGCGGAGTGGCCTTTAGAGAAAGATGCTCCTTTGCTCCCCAAAGGCAGGCGTGCCTTTTTGCATGCAGCTCGCAGGGAAGTGGGATGGCCAGTTTCTCCGGAGGAAGAGACGGACGGCCTCTCCCCAGAACTGTTGCAAACGTGGGGCTCTCCCTGGCGGATGGAGCCACGCGGGCTCCCTGGCCACGCACCGGGGACTTTAGGACGGACAGAGGCCTGAGCACAGGAAGGGGAGGGGCCTGGCGCTGGCCTACCACACCGGGACCTGAGACCCGCCTCCCTAGGGCCGGGGCCTCCCCAAGGCCTGCTGGCTCCTGCCGGGCAGCTGCGAGGTGGGGCACATGTCCTTGCTCCTGTCCCCCTCCTGGCCCGGCGTCACCTCCAGTGTCCTGAGGCTCAGCTGGCTTCTGGGACAGCTGCCCTGAGCCTGCCTGGCTGGTCTCCTCTGCCTTCCCCGGGACCGTGCCCAGCCTCCTAAGTCAGGTGCCCCTTGGGGTCCTGGTGACCCGTCAAAGCACAGGCACCCCCAAAGGGCACGGACTCGGTTTCACCCCGACTCACTCTCCACAGTAACAGCCTCTCTTTCATCCCCTCTTTCTGGGAGACGCCCACTCCCCTGGCCGTTCACCGCTGCTCGGTAATTTTCTTCTTGCTTTTCTCCAAAGATGACCTGTGGGCCGCAGACCAGCCAGGGCCCGTGTGAGATCGGCACGGTGCTGGCCGACACCGGCCACGGCGTGTACCAGTGGGTGTACGCAAGCAGCATGGCGTCCGTGCTGGCGTTCGGCATCACCAAGGGCTTCACCTTCACCAAGACCACCCTGATGGCGTCTTCCGCGCTGCACGACCGCATGTTTGACAAGGTGCGCCCGGGACCCCTACGTAACCGCGGGGTCAGCCACAGGCTCACTGAGCGCCGGCAGGCCCGGGCGCTGTGCTGGGCTCAGGGAACTGACCGTGGCGCCTGGGAAGCGCCTCCCAGGACCTAATTACCAACATGGGAGCAAACCCCAGGGAACTCGGGTGGGGGGTCATGGGCCCGTGGCCAGGCTGGGGTGCCCAGGGAGGATCCCCGAGGAGGCCGCACCGAGCAGACAGGAGCGGGCCAGAGGGCGCCTCCTGCTCCAAAGAGCCCCGGTCCATCGAGGGCCCCAGGAAGGGCCTGGCCGGGGCAAGTTTAAGGGGAACAGCTTCCTGTGCCCTCGGGCACAAGATCCCTCCTTCCTCCAAAGGGGCCCCAGGCTGCGCCGGGTTTGGAGGGGAGCTGTGTGCACACAGAGGCCACAGAAGGGGGCACTTTCCCCTGCCCAGCACGCCTCCGCCTCATGGGGCCCTGGAAGGAGGGTGGGGCCCTGCGCTCACCATCCCAGCCCAGCAGGGGGGCGAGGTGTAACAGACATGCCCCCTGAACCCCGGACTCTCCCACGGCGGCGGCGCCCACAGATCTCGCAGAGCCCAATGAGCTTCTTCGACATGACGCCCAGCGGCCGGCTCATGAACCAGTTCTCCAAGGACATGGACGAGCTGGACGTGAGGCTGCCCTTCCACACGGAGAGCTTCCTGCAGCAGATCTCCCTCGTGGCCTTCATCCTCGTGGTCCTGGCCGCCGTGTTCCCCGCCGTCCTCCTGGTGCTGGCCGGCCTCGCCGTGGGCTTCCTGGTGCTTCTATGGTAGGTGGAGGCGCCGCGTTACGAGGAGGAGCACGCCGACCACTCAGGTCTGGTCCTGCCACACAGTGACCGGCCGTCGCGGGCGGCAGTGCTGCATCCTGTGTCCTGGAGCCCAAACCCAGGGCAGTCGCGCCCCGTGGAGGGTTCAGTTTTAAAGTTGGCTCCTGCCCGGCTGGCGCGGCTCAGCGGTTGAGCATCGACCTATGAACCAGGAGGTCATGGTTCCATTCCCGGTCAGGGCACAGGCCCAGGTTGTGGGCTCCATCCCCAGTGTGGGGCGTGCAGGGGGCAGCTGGTCCATGACTCTCTCTCATCATGGATGTTTCTCTCCCTTCCTCTCTGAAATCAATTTAAAAATATATAAAAAATCAAGCCGGCTCCCAAGGCCACCAGGAGGTTTGCTCAGCACGACCTTCGCCGCCGCCTTCAGAAGCCACACACCGGCTGGCGCACAGCGCTTCCTCCCTAATTGGGAAAGATCCCTTTCCCTCTGGCGCCCGCGCTGGCAGCTATATTTAGAGGCTGCGCCGTAGGAAAGATTCTTCTCTAAGACTATAAGCGACATGTCTCTCGTGCGGCGAGCCTCACGCCGAGGAGCACACAGGACTGAGACCACGGGGGATGGCTCTCATTTCTGGACCCACACTTACAAGAGTAGCCCCCCCCCCGCCACACACACACACACACACACACACAGGGCGGCCCCTCCTAGAGAAGGGGGGAGTCCGGGTGGGTTGAGGGGAGCCCTGAGCCGCCTTCCGCCCTCTGCTCTCCCGCAGCGTCTTCTACCGAGGAGTCCAGGAGATCAAGAAGGTGGAGAATGTGAGCCGCTCGCCCTGGTTCTCACACATCACCTCGTCCATGCAAGGCCTGGGCATCATCCACGCCTACGACAGGCGGGAGGACTGCATCGCCAAGTGAGTCCTGACCCCGACGGGAGGTCACAGCCAGGCAGGCAGGCTGCTCTGGGCGCCCGGGGACCCGGCAGAAGGGAGGAGGCGCCCTCGCAGACACCCGCCTTTCTTCCCCGCGTCTGGGGCCCCAAAGATGTGAGCTCCTTCAGTGACCACCTCAGCGTGGGATGTGACATATTTTTTCACACTGAAAGCAAAATGTGTTCAACTTAGGAAAACAGGAGACAACAGGAAACAGAAAAATAGAAAGTCACGCACAGGTCCCCGCACCCCAAATCCTGGTAATACTGTCACGGACTTCCTCCCAGTCTCTTTTCCCTCCTGGAATGCTCACGACCACTTTTGGCCAGCTTCATTTTCCAGCAGCCTCTCTCATGTTATGACACAGTCCTTGTCAAGGTCATTTTCAAAGGCACTTAGTGGGCAGACCGGTGTCCTGCCTTATAAAGTGGGGGCACCAGATCAGAATGTCTCTGGGGCGTCTTGCAGCGCCGAACTTCGAAAACACAAAGAAATCACAGGTGAGCGCTGGTGCCAATCACAGTTCCTCCCTGTGGGACAGCAACGCCCAGTTCTAGGAGCTTCACACACAGGTTTGTTCCTCCTCCAGTCACAATGAGCGGGGTCCACGCAGGGCGGGGACGGTGCTCGGCCTCCGTACACCGTCTCCTTCCAGGGGCACTTTTCCATCGCCAGGGCTCTGGGCACAGTCCCCAGCGTCCTGGAGAGAGATCTGGGTGGAGGACCCAGGTGACGTTTTTATTGGTCCAACCCCAATGGAGATGCTCATCATTTCTGCACATTCACTGGCCAGAGTTCAGTCACATGGGCTCACCTAACTGCAAAGGAGGCTGGGAAATGTAGTCCAATGGTGTCCACTGGAAGACGAGAAAACGGAGTTTGGTGAATCTACAGCCGTCTCTGTCACTTAGATCTCTGGCGGTTTTGTTTCTTCTGACTCTCCCAACAGGTACTGAGGGCCTTCTGAGCTCTTCACAAGATCCTGGGGTGACGAGTTTTTGTTTTTTATCTCTTCCTTCCCTAAAGGCCTGACACACACTTCAACGCTTGCATCTAATTCTCTTTCCCTTTCTGCCCTTGGCCACCCAGGGTCTCCATGGGGCTTGGCATCCTTGTCTTTGGTTCAGTCATCAGCTAGTCCTGCCACCAGTGGGACTGAAAGTCATGTGTCAACAGCCCCGCACCACAGTGGGCCTCCCAGTGTCTGTCCGAGGAGCCGTTCCCGACTCCCGACAAACGGAACAGGTCCGAGCCTCGTGTCCTCAAGGCCTCCCCTCTTTCAACACCCTCCGGCCTGTCGTGAACTTTCTGGAGCCCTTTCTGGTAGAAGTACTGCCTCTGCCAACAGACAAAAACGCTAACCACGCATGAGCAAGAGGCGTGGGGTCAGATTCCAATTTGATCCCTGCCAGGGATCACAGCTGAGACCCCGGGTGACGGCCAAGTCCCTGAAGCTGTCAGTGGAGTTTGTGGGTTGTATAGCGGCACCATAGAAACACCATGGTGTCTGCAAGCATCTTTGGCCTAAGCTCTGAGGACCGGCAGGAGGAGGGGCCGCAGGACCCCGCCCAGCTGGTCAGAGGGGCCGTAGCTCTCTGGGGGGATAAATGTTGAAAGGCTTTCATTTCCCCCCAGTAGTTTCTACCAGCTGTCCCAAGCAGGTCAGGGAAACTTCAGTGGCAACTGGATCCCATGTCTCTCTTGGTTACGGTTAGCTCAGTCCAGTTAAAATTTCCATCCTGAATGTATGAAAGACACAGCCCCCCTCTCCCCAGGGCTGGGGCAGGTCAGGCTGTGCTGAGCGCACATGTCCGGCGGGGGTGGGGAGTGGGGTGGGGGGGGAGGAGGGCAGCTGGGAAGCACCTGGTCTGTTCTCTTACACACCCTCTCCCTTCACCCCTACGCCCACGACAGCAGATTTCAAAGAGCGAGGACAGATGTCCGTTTCTGGAAAAGCGAGTTCGCCCTTGAAGAACGCCCTGGCCGGCCCTGCTTTCTCCAGGAGCCCGGACCCTGATCCACGGCCGCCCGCCTGACCCCGTCTGCCCGTCTCCTCATTTCAGGTTTAAGATGCTCAACGACGAGAACTCCAGCCACCTCCTGTACTTCAACTGCGCCCTGCGCTGGTTCGCCCTGAGGATGGACGTCCTCATGAACATCGTCACCTTCATCGTGGCCCTGATGGTGACCCTGAGTTTCTTCTCCGTCAGCGCCGCGTCCAAAGGCTTGTCGCTGTCCTACATCATCCAGGTACCGCCTGGTGTCGGGAGGGCCTGGCCTGGAGGCTCTCGCATCGAGTGCGGGAGGGAGGGCGGGCCTAATAGAAAGCACAGCTCGAATGGGGTCAGCAGAGCGCTGAGCGGCTCACGTCACTCAAAGGCCTGGCGACTGAGTGGGCCTCCACCGTTTCCCGTTTCCGTTCTTGTATCAGAGTCTCCTGTTCTTGTCTTTCATCTTCCCTCTGGGAACCTGCCTTAGCCTGGCCGTCCGGCCGCTCCGCTGACTTGTGCGTACGGCAACCATATGTCCAGATGCTCAATCTCCACCCACTCTCTCAGGGAGCGTTTGAAAGAACCCCTTTCAGGCGGCTGCCTATGTATGTTTAATGTCCCCGAGTGTATTAACGAGAGGTCCCTCCCTCCCAGGGCCGGTTCTTTTCTTTACCCGGTCCCTGCGTGTCTGTGCCGTGGGCTGCGTTTGTCGGATTCTTGATCCGTTTGTGCTTGAGGAGGAGGGCCGGGCGGGCGGGGTGTTCAGGGCTCCCCTGCTTTTGTGTGGCCTGGAGGGGTCTTCGCAGGCTGGCCTCGCTTCAGGTGTCAGCCGTGGGCAGGGTAACTGTGCAGGTGTCAGCTATGGTTAGGGGCGCCTGTGCAGGTGTCAGCTATGGTTAAGGGCGCCTGTGCAGGCGTCAGCCGTGGGCAGGGTGCCTATGGGTGACCTTATGAAACCACACCCCCAGTCTGGGCCCAGATTCTCTCACTTGGGAAGCAAGCAGCAGGGCTTGGTGCTTCCTTCTACCTGATCCCCTGTGATGCCTCC